AAGCGCTTCGTCTGCAAAACCTGCACACGGACTCACAGGCAGGTACTTTCGCGCGGCATGTGCCAAATCTGGAAACACGTGCAGATGGACTCGCCACCACGCGAGCGGATCGACAAGGTCGTGGGCAGCAGGGGCATCCAGGTACATTTGGAGATCGCCGGGTGGCTGGGCGTCTTCAAATGGATATAGTTCTGACCACGACGACGACGATGGAGTTGTCATGGGGGGTTGGGGACCTCTGGATTGTGGATACGCTTCGGCCGACGACTGCTGCCCTTCAGTCGGTGCAGTCGGTGCAGGGGCTGGTGGTGGAATGCTGCTGGGCATCGACTTTGACGCCACGGCCCGCTGGAGCTTGTCCAACGTGTCTTGCCTGTCGGTCGTAGGTAAAAACGGCAGCGACTTGAATCGAGGGTCCAACGCGCACACTCGTCGCAAGAGCGGCGACTCGAGAATCGCTTCGAGGGTCGGCATGACATGTGCGGCATGACGTTTGTCCTGGAGTAGTTTCACGACGCCGTGCAAGAGCGCAAACGCGAGTGGGGCGACGGGTGGCGACGGACCTTGCCTGTCGTGGGTCGCGCCGTGGGCCGACGCAGCAACTTGTTGGAGTAATGTGTGGACAGGGGTCAGGATGGACACGAGGTCGTGCAGTCGCTGGGACTCTTCAGGTTTCCACAATGCATGGTTGAGAACGAATGGCTGCTGGAGCATGGTCAGCGACGACGTCCATTGCGCGGGGTGGTCGAGGTGCACGACGTTGACAGGAGCGGCTAGCACGAGCCCGCGCGCCTTGACGAGTAGCGGGGCAAACTCACTCAGCACAGCTTGCATGACTGAGTTCATCTGGTGCACCAAGCATGGCACAACAACTGCATTGGGAAACGAACGCGCTAATGTCGGCGTATTCCACGCAGGCTTGACGGTGATGGCTACGACATCCAGAGTCCACTGATCGATCGTCGAGCGCAGCCAGGCAATGACTTGGTTCAAGTCACTCTTGTCCGCATCAATCGGCACCAACTTGGAGTCCACCACACATTCGCGCAGTTGAAAATCGTGGGTGATCCAGTGAGCTGTCACAACATGCACATTGCAGGACGTGGCAGATGGCCAAACGTCGACGG